TCTATGGAGATTGACCACTTGGTCCAATGGGCGACCGCGGTTGCCTAAAACTTTTCGCCTGACCTCAGCATTGCTCGTCCGGTTGCCCCACTAGATTCGTGCAATGCTGCGTAGACAGCAGTGTTCAAACACCGACACTCTATCCTTATCTTGTTTTCTTTAATGGCCAATTTTCTGCTCCATGTAGCAGAACTGGCCGAATTGCTGCAGCATACACTCTACTCTTCACAGACAGCCAGATGTCGCGACGGCGCCACAGATGTCTCAAGTTGGTAAATGAGCCTTCTGTATGCGGGCTGACATTTCATCCGTGATGCCTCCACCGGGTGAGATGTAGATGCCCAAGTAACAAAACTTATTCACTTGCTCTATTACCTCCCCAGTTAGAGCAAGGTTGGGTGCTGGATCAACCCAGTCTTGTAGCAACATTTTACTTTTTGAAGGTGTAAAACACATACCGAACATGGCTACACTAGTATTCAAACTTTCCAGAAAAGCTTGTAACTTACCTGGGTCTTAACTTAGTAGCACAATGTCGTCCGCATATTCTAAATCAGACAGTCTGCCACATTGGAGTAAATCGATGCCCTTATCCTTGCACGAGGATAGGGCTGTTTCCATGATTAAATCTATGACAAAGTTAAATAAAAAAGGAGAAAGAGGAAAACCGTGATAACAAATCACTGTCACGGCAACCACGCCAGCAATGGACTGCTCTGGTATTGTTTCATTGGCCTCAGTTACGCCTAGGTTACAGATTTGACTTCCCCATCTCCACCTTGATGGTGCATTTCAACTTCGTCACATGACCTTTGAAACCTTTATGCGAATCTATGCAGGAAGGGTGGGTAGACAATGCATGTCGATAGTTTGTGTCATACCTGTAGACTTGTCGGTTCAGAAAGGATACATGATTCATTCTCTACCAGCAAAAGATTACAGGCATTTTTTTGATTCGCTATATTTGGTTCTCTACTGCCAATACGTTGCGCAGCTGTTCATAGAGCTTCCACCACCAAATACTTGTCTTTGAGCATATAAAAGAAAATGTATCACTGGTTCATCTAAAGTCTCATAGTATTGTCATGTTTCTTGCCTCTACTGAACTACAGTTTGCATGAACTATAACTGCTCTCTCTTGATCCGACCGTTTTGATGCTATCATGAAGTCAAGAGGCCTGATCCACAATACTTATTTCCCGCTGTTGTGTGTTGATAGATTTCAAAATTGTTCGTGTAACCTTTGTTTCTAATAGGTGGATTTGCAAGCTGAATGCCACATTTGAAGATCGGTAGGTAACCTGAAGAAAGCACATCAGCCACAAATTCCAGATTTGAAATTCCTATGTCCTGGGTAATTTATAGTCTCTCAGCGCTCGGGAATTCACGTCAGGTATCTACGTAGACAACTAGCTTATCTGTGTAGCTTGGATACCTTCCCGGTTCTGATGGGTGGGTTTTTTTCTTAACAAGTTGGTACCATCAGCTCAGGCTTCTCACGACGTCTATAAGGCTGGAAAATTGTATCATCAACTGGTCATTTATGATTATTCTGGGGAGTCGGAAGCGGTGTTCTACACTCTTTAATATGCTCAATTGAAGGGATAACAATATAAAAATAGAAAGATAAGATAGACACTCCAGGATAGAGGGGATTTTGTTACAGTATGGAGAGCTGTTTGGCCTGATGGGAAGAGGAATCTAGTACTAATTGATGGAACTTTGATTAGGTCACAGCATTCAAACTTAGTTTTAGAATTGTTCAACATTCTTCCGAGTTTAACCTATGAGTCACCAAACTGTTATTATCGTTTTGAGGATGACAAAGCTACCAAAGAGTCCATAAACAGATACCAAAAAGATATCATTCGTTGAAGCTTTCCAATTGCCACAGAAGATCAATCATCACCACGAGAGAGAATGAAATGAACCGATTGTGAATGAAAAACAGCTTAGTACCGTTTGTGAGAATTGAGTCATCTGATTGTGTGCCATTGTATTTTGGAGCACAGTTCTGGGCAGAGAAATAGACTTCTGCGTGAGCCGTTCTGGTTCTCATTTTTTAGCAGTAGTGTTAGAACTATGTACATCTGTTACCTCGTTCCATTTACCACATCTAAATCAAATGATATGTATATGTAATGTATTCTACAAAGACGCTTAAGTCATATTTATTGTGGTTAGTTTTATCTTAACTACTTACAAACATCAAATCATATAATTAATTCATAAATAGGCTGGCTCGTTAAGAGTAGATTTGTCATGTGGTGCTTTTTGTTGTCTCGATTCTCCTGTTTCTTGACCGCTGTCGTTGGTGTTCCGTTTTTCTCTTCGACAGCCATTTTTTCCGTTTGGTTCTCGTCACTGAATAGATATTCACTTATGTCATTATGCGAGGTTTAACGATTAGTTCGCCCAATGGGTTGCGTTTTTGATAGCTTATAAGACGAATATGGTAAATAAACGAATCGTCCTTCTTTCCCAATTTTTTATGGTCGCGATATGATCCCGCTATCGACAGACGAACAGTTCCTACCAGAATGTTTTTAATTGCATTTTCTATCGTACCCACGTTTGAGTTCTAATTTGCTTAGAGTATAAGTTACGTATATTGACAGGTTAAGATTATACGAGACAAATTATCTCTACTTACCCATAATATCTACTTTGAAGGATTATGTGTTCATCCGCGGACATGCTTGACTCATTCGAATCCTGAAAACTAACCAATATAATCAATTGGTGTGGATTCGATTTATCACGTTTATTAAAAGTTGTGGGGTGCATTTCCTACTTTGGAGCAAAACTCACGCTAAACAATGTCTTGTTGTGCCTCCGCAAAAACCCTGGCGTGGCAGTTTTAATCAATGCAAATTCCCTACTGGATAGGTTGTTGTCTCACTGAGTCATAGTGCGAGTAATTACCCGATAGATCATCGCGAATACAGCGTTCAATAAAGTGAAGTAGCCATCTGCGGTTTTTACAAAGAAACCATTTACATCTTACATATTTGTACGAAAGGTGTATGATGAGTTTTCGCGTAGCTTTATTAAACCGTGCAGTTATGTGGAGCTCAAAGTTGCTTATTTAACAACGCAGTTACGGAGTATAAAGAGTCTATCGCTCCCTGTTATGCAATCGAGTGGATAAAGGACATATTATTGAACTGGTCATCGAAAAACGTAAACTCCGCTTGAATTGATGCCATTCGTTTGTATCGCTCAGTGATTGGTTCAGTTCCAGTTCAAGCTAGGTCTTAGTTTAACCGAGCAGTTGGTGCTGAAAATGTGTCCGTCGCAAGATTTAGGCCACTGACGGCTAGGGTGGAGTGAAATATGAAGGTAAAAATGAGTAAAGGTATCAAACAGTTCTGATGTTTCGTTATCTGCTAACACCTTTCCATAAAGCTCTGAATGTTACTCAAATCAATTTAATTATTTACCTTTTGTACTGTCTGTGTGGTTGTTTGTTCTTATTTTACTGCCATTTCTAGAGTGGAGGATTACTTGAACGACGTCGGTTGAGACTACTATTGAGAGAGTTCGGACACTTTCCGGAGAAATATCGGTAAGCAATTTGTGAAGGTCGTTGTTTTCGGTAAGGGGACACTAAAAGCGGGATATCGTTTTGCGTTCTATCGAATTCTCGGATAATTTTAGTGCGCTACCATCAGATATGACGAACTGGGTGAAGGTGTACTGTGAAAATCAAACAGAGTAAAGCAAGTTGGAAAACAGTAATGAGACACCAATTACAGCTTTCCTGATGAATACGTCTATATGAATATACTGTTCATTGTAAAATGTTCCATAAAGATGTTTAAGTCGCGTTTTTTTGCAGTTAATAGTACCTAAACCACACACAAAACATCAAATTCTTCAACGGAATGGCTTTGAATGAGCTGTCTATCCAAAATTACCCGGTGGTGCAAATTAGGTTATTGTGACTGAAATACACCTCTCGGACACATGTATATGAATGACGAGCGGCAAGAACTGAGAAACTGGTCTGAGCTTCCAGGGGAATTTTATCATGTCGTTCGTATACTACTTGTTATTACCACTACTACTATTATTCATACACCTTATGTACGCATTATCTTTGTGAACTAAGACGTTGCCGTTAGAGTAAAACACAGTACAATGGTCACATTCAATCGAGTTCTGCCTTTCTACTACGAAACAGATTTGGTCAAAGGTTATACGCATTTTCACGACTAGTTTTTGAGGCCCGCTATGCGCCGTCATTGGTACCATTCGGGAGAAAATGTATTAAACATTCAGTTGCAAAGCTTAGAGATCTATTTTCGTCTGTTTATCGTAGGTGATTTGTGTCGGTTTATGGATTTCAAAATTTATTAGCTTGAAAGCTCGAATTATCAAATAATGGAAATTTATTTCTACGTTTATAAATACGATCATTCATTTGTGACATAATTCGCTATTTTTATTCCAGTTATTTGTAAAATTTTACTATTGGTATTACCATACCCCCTACTTTATTTAACCACAGTTGATTTCTTGGGTTGGTTGAGCCGAATAAGGGGAGAGCATGATGAAATGAAAATTTCATATCAGAACCCTCCCCTGTAATCGGCAGATGGGCTTCCTTTGCCGGGGTGTGTTAAAAACGTATAAAAGTGGATACCTATTCATCTAACTTCTTTCGATTAAATCCACAGGTTTAATGAAAATGAGACATCGGAGGACTTTTGCTTTAATTTCTGACCTTGACAACCTGTCTACGGGTTCTCACACAATACTTATCTTACATTAATCCAAAGGCGAACTTTGCATGTTATATGTGCAAGATCGAGGATTTTTACCCCAAGAACGATTTTGTGTTTGCGACCACAACACACCTATGGGAATATTGTGGGTTTTCAAACGGATATTTTTTTTCCGGTCTATGAAACGTAACAGGGGCGATATGTTTTCCAAATGTCCCGGTTGCCTTTGGGGACTGATGGCATTGATTGTTTATTACGTGATGGAGGAACGCAGATCCATTGTTGCTGTCCTTTTTGATCGCCTTGGATTTCTTTGTATTTGAACTATTCCATTCAAATATTCCCTAATACAATTAGTGTATTTTTGGAACACAAGACAAAAATGTCTTCATTTAGTAATTATTGCCATGATATCATTTGGACTACTCATGAGTAGTTGAAGCGCAATCGTCAGAATTCGTCAGATTAGCCCTACGGGCGATCCACCATAGGTTAATCAATGCCCAGCAGGAATATAACATCAATAGGTGTTTGCTGATCATCTCAGGAAAGTCACAGAGCAGTTAGGGTGCATAAAAAGACGATTTCTACGAAAAAGTAGACGAACTCATGCCATTGAGCTGAAGTTCCAATACAGTTGTGCCACCAGATGATTTTAATGCCCAGGTTGGAAAACTGAGCTAATCAGGAGCTTCCCTAGGCGGTCTTTGTGCACTGCCCTTCCAGAAAACAGATAATGGTGATCGACCGCGAGGGATGTATGCAGAATAAGGTTTATTTTGGTCTAGTACGAACTTCCAACATAACTCTCGACGGTTGACCACTTGGCGCTCGTGTTCAACTTGTGAACTGACTCAATCCGAATATAGCAGTAACCTACCATTGGTATGACTCAGAATAAAATTGCAGGCTTTATTGGACAACCTGAGTTGGGTCTAACCAAGCCGTTCGTCTCCGCTAAGATTCAGAGCTGGTTGACGAGCAAAGCGTGCTACAGCTAGGTAATAATGATGAACTCTGGAGTCAGAAGAGACGAGCCATGCACTCTGCAGGTAACATCGATAATAGATAAACAGATCAATTTTTTTTCTCTACTTTTCATTCCACGCTTCATTCACTCTGTTCGCAACGGATTTCACTGTGCGATCAAATAAAATCGTTCCTTACTCTCATGAACTAATTAAAACTTTTTATTTATATTCACAGGCTTTTTATATGGCGGGCTGTGCTTCAACTACCTGGCAATACAGAAGCATTCAATATATTGTTGAACAAAGGAATACACCCAGCGTTTGAATCACTGCCTACTCGTTATCCAATCCGCGGTCAAAAGCTGATGCGTGTTTTACAAAAGCGAGTTATCTGTTTCCATGGTTAAATGCTTTTCTTCTCAGTTTTTTTTGCTATTCCCCGTTCGTTTGTTTTGTAGCTCCACTCTGAAACGCACACCTAACTGTCTCCCTCGGCTCCGTAAATGAGTCATGTTGTTCGCGTGTGGATGCAAACAGCCACAAGAGAACGGTGCTTTCTTGTCAGGACCGAACACAGGTCGCACGATCAATACATTACACTGCACCTGTTGTATCAGCCGGAAAGCGAAATGTTAGGACATTTTTGCAGTTATGCCAACCAAAGTAAAATGTCAGTTTAAGTGTTGAAACGAGGCACTTTTAAAAATAAATATCAAACAATTGAATGCTGACTCGACGGTGCTGATATAGTTAGTGAAACTAATTTCAGATTCATACCGATTTCACGGTTGCTTTTGAGTAGTCTCGAATGTAAATAAAATGTTACGATTCATGTGCTCCAAATCCGCGTTTTGGCTATCATATGGAATAGTCTAGAATCATCCCTGTGCGATTCCCCTCACTATTTTTTTTAAGAATATTTTTTTGTCATTCGTAATCGTTTAGGATCAGTCCCGCAGAGGAATGAAACCCATACCGAACATCATCATCTAGAGTGCCTGGTGCCTGTGAAAAGCCGAATGGGCTAATCCAAACATTCACCATCTAAGAAGATAATCTCACTTCCAAAAATGGTTTTACAATAAGAAACAAACCTGAATCCCTATGTATGGGAATTGAAATAGATTTAACAAGTGTGGAATGCGTATGTTTACTATCCTGTCAGTTGATAAAATAAAATAGAGATAACCTCGTAAACATTTTATCCAGGAATGATGGTAAAAGCTAAAATCATGAAAACCCAAATTTAATAATTTTTTTGAACATTTGACAATAAGATTACTGTCACGAAGATTATATAGAATAGTAATTGAATAGCTCAATCAATTTTACGGTAGCAAGCCCAATCGACTCTCCAGAGGCACCAGGTACTCTCGATGGTCTTGGGTGTGGGCTTCACTCCCTAGGAGATCGTTAATTCCTCATTTTAAGTGCATTTAAATGCTGTGGAAATGTTTGTGATAAACGATATAGAGGACTGGACAGCTGTTTCGTCCTGTTTGGGACTCGTCAGCAGTGCGTACTTTTTGTGTCCCTGTCAGGATTCGAACCGTGAACCTTCGGGCTGGGACTTCAAACCCCTACCCCTGAGCTACGCGGTCGACGGTTGTCACCTTCTGCGAATAACTCAATCAATTTAGATGGTGCATGTTTGGATTAGCTCATTCGGTTTTTCACAGGCACCAGGTACTGATGATAATGTTACACTGCTGACGAGTCCCAAAAAACTGTCCAGTGCTGTTTGTCGATTATCGCAAACATTTCCACGGCATTTAAATTTTTCATTCTTTCTTCTAATCGCAATTTATTTCGTTTTATCCATCATTCCAGAGTTACTTCTTGTTTGGCCTTTTGGTCACCGCTATTCGGAGAAACCGACTGGTTACCTCTGTTCGTTTTTCCGTTCGTCAAACTGTTCCAGAGCAATGTGATGCATGCTTTCGAGGTTGTGGCCACTGTGTTGAGTGAGTAATACTACTTGTATTTCTAATTACATCAAACGCTCGACACGTAGCAAACCTCTAAGGCGCACCTCGGTTATTCCGTAGGATTAGCAAGCCAGGTTTCAAATACTCTTTGTAGTTGCACTATCAATTCTTAAGATGAATGAAGCTGCTTTCTGATACTTTCAAAGCTTTTACTGGTGTTGGGAGCTGTTGACCTCCTGGACCATTACATATTTCATCAGTGTCGAAAGGAATTAAATAATACGAGATGTTGACATTTCGTGTAATCCCCGTCTCTGACGTTTATATATATATATATATATATCAAAATAAACATTTTAAAACTCAGTGTACGTCTCCATTCTCTTTTGGAGGATAACCATTTCTCTCGCGATGAAAATACAATTCTCTCGAACTCTAGGCTTGTGAGCCTTAAAGAAAAAAACTGGATGAATGCACGTATTCACCTGATCGATGTTATTGGTCACCTCTGCCCTGGAACATTCGGGTATCGGTTATCGTGCACATTTTCTAGAACACCGAAAAACAGGTTTTATATATGTATATAGCAAGCCCGTTATTCCCTCGAAGTGTGATGCACTTTAATGTTTTCTAATATAACTTTCGCGCTCGCCTTGTTGGTTTCTGATATTGGATAGTCGGTGGTTTGCATTTTAATTGTAAAGCGTTTAAGTCCATATTCCGTTTCTCAGTTAATTTCGTGTATGCGCGTCGCTAGGTGCTGGTTATCTTTTCCACGTCCAGTTTAACTGGGTTACGTTTCCTGAAAATCGGCAGTATTCCTTGCAGTTCGACTGAAAAAAGTCATTATTTGTTCACTTCTGTCCTGTTTGTTGCTGAAACCATCCATGCACCCATCCAAAAACTATCTGTGTCAAGTAATTCAGTCTGATATTGTCCCTATATTTTATACGCTATATTGCAGTGAATTGGTGCGCCACGTGGTTCGAATACTTTCCCAATCCTCCCATCAATATTTTATGCATGATCGAGAACCTGCTCGCCCACGCTGATCCTGAGCTGTATAATCATTTTGTTCGAAACGAAATCACCACAGAGGTAAGTCTATTGGTTCTAATATTACCAATTCAATCAAGTTACCTGCCCTCCCTCACTCCGTTCCCGAATAGTGCATGCTAGTAGTGTGCATGCATTTGACATTCTCTTTCCAGCGCAATGTCCAGGTGATTAATAACCTTGTTCACCGATTCAACGTGATCCCATGCTGGTCTGCCGGAACACGAATATTCCATCGTGTGACGAAAATAGTGCATAATTAATCTCATTTATCCTACTATGATATAGCTCTGTGAGCTAATTCACTCAATCATGTTGTTTAGCACAACTCCAAATAGGCTTGTATTATTATCCGCATGATCCATATCAAGTAAACGGTTTATTATTATACTATATTTTTACACGTCTGAATCCAGACTGTATGCCAAACAAATCATGGTACAATAATTTTTATGAAAAAGGAACACGTTCCATGATTCGTATGTGGGCGGAATACTGCCAGGTTGCCCAATTCAAGGCACGTGAGGAATCCACAATCGGGGCCTTTGTCTAGCCAAAGCCTGACCCACAAGGCAGCGGGGCGGCTTTTGCGAAAATCGCAATCCATTAGGGGCCGGTGTCCAGTTCATCGGATCATACGCCCTTCGGACGGGGTCAAACGTCCGGGGTACCCAGTACACCTCGATGCACAATTGAGCCGATGACCGTAACCGCCACAACCGGGAAGGTGTGTGGTCCTCACGTCTCCTCTTGGTTAGTTTGGAATCGGGATTTTTGGCCAACTCCCCTAGGTGACCTGCCAGTGGTCCGCCAACCCGGTTATAGCCTCGGAGGTGGGCTTTTCGTCCTCTCATTTTGGTGGAAAACACATCCGCCACGAGGAGGCAGCAAACGATAGCGTCGCGCCCAGTGCTACCTTCCGGTGCAGAGACTTGGCCAGAACAGGATAAAAGATTAGAATGTCGGTGTTGGAAGACTACTGTCTGCGCAGCACTGTACGACTCTGGTGGGGAAACCGGACAAGCTGTCCGGGGGTTAGAGGCACAGTTTTAGGGCAACCGAAGGACAGCAACCAAAACTGGCGCACAAAAGTGCATGGCTAATGATTGTAACAACTGAAACTGATCAAACGAGCGTAATTCGCCCAACGTTCAGGTTTAACGTGCTGCATGCGTTTCTACTCTTCAATTGGACAATTCAATTCGAATTGGACAACGTGAGGCCTGTGTAGCTTTTTGACTTACTCCGAGTTCATGGATTTGCGAATTCTTCAACGTATATGGTCGGTGGTAGAAGATTATGTGAGCTGGGGAAAGGGGACGATCAATTGAGAAAATGGAAACATTACTAAATACTCCTGTCTGTCAATGACACACTATCAACCCTCAAACAATCGGCGTTCGTATAGCAATTTTCTCAGCTCCCCGTCATTTAATCTCCCTTGGTCATATTTGTATTTGTATAGACGTTTGTCTGAACAGATGCCCGCATTTCAGTCAAAAATTACACATCTCATCAATAGAAGGAAATAATATGAGTGAAAAATCGAACATCCAAAGTTCTCGAGAAATTCAGAAGAAGTGATCTATCTAGATGGTGAATGTTTGGATTAGCTCATTCGGTTTTTCACAGGCACCAGGCACTGTTAATGATGTTGCTCTAGCGGTTTACAAGGATTCTGGGGAAATAGAGAACCACGGAATTTCTGTAGAGGTTAATGCGAGAGGGCATTAATCGATACATAGAACGCGTAGATGAACAAGGGCAACAGTTGGATAAATCGCCATGTAAAAGATGCGTGGGGTCAGAGAGCATGTTTTGTTCAAATGTTTCACATGGTGGTGATAGGTAAAATGCACACGGCGTTTTAGATAGATCATCAACAGGTAGACAAGACACATGATTGACAATGGACAAACCTTGACGAAGAAGTTTTAAGTCTTTCTTTAGTGGACCAGCAAAACCACCGGGGAACAACAAAGAAGAACGGGAAAAAAACAGATTGATAAACAAAAAGCGAAATCATTTTTTGGTTTGACGTTAAACTGCTGGAGTCGTCGAATTCCGCTCATCTCTAGCGAAATCACTACTCTCAAGTTCATTGAAACTATGGAGGATTAATATCATGTACTACCTCTATATACCGTCGCGTCACACGTTCATTAGTTTTCTAACAGGAATAATCTGGTTTTTCAAATGGAACTGATAGACTTGTCTTATGCAACGTCAATGTACCACTTTACTGAATTGGGATGCATAGATACATGGTTCACGATTGAATTACTTGTGTAACATGAAACTATTTCTCAAAACGGAAACCCTCTGTTATCCGCTTGCCTAGTTTAATGCATTTTGTGCCGTTTTCTACGTGTTTCCTACGAGGCAGTGTGGAGCTCCTTGGTAAAAACAAACTGTCGCGGGAACAGTATATGTGTACATTTGGTATACCATCTGATGCGGCTGCGCAATGGTTGCACAGGAAATGAGAATGCGGTTAGTAGTATGTGAACAATTTTTTATATCATACACCTAATCGAAAATAAACCCCAACCGCACGATTTCTCTACTTGATTTGATGCAGCCAATCGCATCAAGATAGATTGTTGCCCTGCTCAGTCTGTTAAAGGTCAGCCAGCAAGGTCGTTCCATTTTGAGACTGTCGAGAATGTCCATTTTCTCGCACAGAGTTCATCATAAAAGCCATTCGCATCTTGAAAATTTTGACCAACTCAATAGTGATGTGAACTACTCGTTTAATTTCTGTCAAACACCACTGTACACCTGCTTTACTCCTACTGCATCAAATCCATCGGTCTAACCGGGGATCGAACTAGCACCTCGTAGAAAGAACCTAAGTACAATACTACCCACTTGGTCAGCAGGAAGCTATCCACATCGTTTCTCTTGGTCTGTATGAAACAAATATTTGCACTCTGATCAAAATAAATTTCCCATAAGTCCATTGTACCAAAAATTCAAATTCCGGAATTGTTCGACTGAATCGTAATTCCTACGAACTGGTGTTAAGATGAACCAAGTTCGTTGACTACAATACACTAGCACAAATGTGTTGTGTTGGACACAGTTCATGCTATTCGGTATCGTTGTTTGTCTTCCATCAGATTCATACACTCTGAAACACTCGTCTGTGCGATTTTGAATACACTGAGTCCCTCCCATTGTTTGTATTATAAATCTGCACGGTTCACTATATCACAGTATAGGCTGATGATGGAAGCGCATCGATATTTTGCTTCCGTTTTTTATGAACTGAGATGCATGATGATGGAACCACAATCGAAAGCAGATTCAGTCGAATGTACACATGCGCACAAACCGATATTGTCAAGTTTATTTATTTGAACTGGCTACCCTTCGGACTTCACCTTCAGGCACAATCCTCAGTTCATCGATTCAACCATACAGTCGAAAGCACTAGAATTGAGTTTTGCTTTTATTAGAGTTCATCAGTAGTGCATCTCCGGAACTCCGGATCCATCGTTGGGAAGGTGCGTGCGTTACCACTGTGGCAACCAACCCATACGATGACTGAACCAAACTGCCAATTCATGTTTGTTCAGGTGTCATCTTCAGTGATAGTCAGTTCATTTGCCTTGACAGCAACAAATGGAGACACAAATGACAATCTGTTAACTCCAATCGAAAGCCTCCCACCAAGTGAGGACTTTCAAATTTCAAATAATAATAATAATAAATATCAATTTATCCACGCCACTACTCACAAATAACTGTGAGCTAAATGTGAATTATCAAAAGCGTTCTTTCGTTTGCCATTTCTACTGTAGTTAATCCAGTCTAAGAAGCTCGGACCTCATGCCAGTGTTTTGACATTCTTGTTTGTATAAAAGTGTCAGTTTATTGTTTTATTTTTATTGACCAAGCACAATACATTTACTTTGAGAATCATAATAATAAGGAATATATCACTTTTTTCCGTAATTATTTATATCTGAAAAAGAATATTATACTTATTCATCTATTTGTCAGATCTATGCTTGGCCGCTATTGCAAAGTGCTTTCAGTGAAATATTCACAGAAAACGAATGGTTGATCCTTTGGGATACAATTCTGTGTCATCCGCCGGGACTTTTCCTCGCACTGGTCGTGGCATATGCTGTCTGTGCACGGAGTCCGCTACTTCTTGTTCGGGATACGGATGCGTTTGAGGTTGGCTAATTGTTTGCAATGATTAACGGAATGTGCTACAAACTGCATTATGTTCCATCCTAATTGGTTTGTCATGAAATGGCTTGGTACTATTGGTTGAAATCAGGCATTTTTACGCTGGTTACATCGGATCAGCTTTTAGGCCAATCTACCACACCCTTTCTCCGCTTTTCTGCCCTTGTCAAAAGTGAATGCGTAAGTGTCAAACTTTCGGATTTGTTTGAACTCATACAGCTTTAGAGGAATTTCAGTGAAGCTTTTAAATCATCAGCACACAGTTGGAAAACTGTTTTCCAATCCCTAGACAGATATGGTACAACATTTTGTGTGTGTGTGTGTTTCCTCGACTACAGTAATGCTTTTAATCGTGTCGACAGGGGCAGAATTTTGTCTCTACTCTATGGTACTGGATTGTTCAATCCTACTCCAGCATTACTTTGTTGGTAGAACACACTTCACGAAGTGTCTTGGAAAATGGTCCGACTTGCTACCGCTCCAAGAAGCAATGCTGCTCCTTTTCTTCTCCCTTTCTATATTCGAGACCTACCCACTGAGCCAGATGATCTTCTTAGCAGGTATGCGAATGATGTTACCATGGGTTCCAAATTCCTAGATGATTTCCTTTTCTAACAGATTCAAACTAGTTTTTCTGTCTTTAGCTTATGGTCTTTGTACTGTAAATTATCTATCAGTGCCTCTAAATGTAGGGATGTCACCTCACTAGCCAAAGGAGACCTGATACGTTATCATGAAAGAAATTGCCCTGTTCTCTATGTTGACAACTAGTGTGTTCCCCCAGAACGTTCTCTACAATATCTCGGTGTTACTATCTGCCAAGGCCTGACGTGCTCTACTCTTAAGAAGATTCGTCGATCGTGCCTCTTAATTTATCGCCTATGATCTTTAAAAGTTCCACTGTGTTTACTCACCCAATTGTATATATTCGTGTGTTGTCACTCGCCTTCTTTACGGCTCCCTAGTTTTATTTGCCAGTCTTCTAGTTGAAGACTACACAATTCTATGCCAGTCTGTTCAAATTTCACTCATCGAGAAAACGTCGGCAACAATATTCTGTCAGATACCACTCACTTATCACACACAGAACTTAAATAATATGTATCCACTTTTGTAATTAAGTGTCGTTGCAAACTTGTGTACACTCGGACCACGGCCTACTATTTCTCTGTTATCCCAGATCTTTTAGAATTTCCTGCACAGAGACCATCCGTTTGAGATTATGTTTTCAACATTCTAGATAAATGATATCTATTTTCATGTTTTGCTCCACTTTCCCCTTGAATTTGCGATGCTGCATTTTATTTTTTCTCTCTATGACTTTATGCGATGATAAATGACCCTGGTGTGCAATGAGCTGAAAATCCATCCATTTTGGATGAATACAGCGATTTATGATCCAACTTGAGCACTATGAATTTATTATCCTCTTTCCTTACTTGTATCATGAGTTACTCTAAGCTCATTTGCCGTTCTTTCTAAATATAATGAAAGCAATGTGGCACGTTCAAACTCGCTGTGCACGTCTTAGTCTTAGGTTTGTGAAACTATTTTTGATTAAAACCTTTCTCAGCTGATAACGTATTTAGGCTAAACGGTGAAGGTCCGTCTATTCGCATGCCGTCTGGCTTACCAATAAACGCGACAGTTTCACTTTTACACCCCCTCCCCGAGTATTCTTCGATGTGGGTTAACCGCTTGAGGTTATTCACTGTTGGTCAAAGTTTTGCATGCCGTAAACTTTTGCAATATGTAATTTGGTAGCGACTCTGTTCAATGCATCCAGATAAATATCTCATCCGCACACGTTGCACAGCAAACTTGCTTCTCAAACGCACAATTTCTTCCAAATTGATGTATCACCACTGATGAGAAACTGAAAATACTCTTTTCCCATCACAAATTTGAATAAACAGGTTAGAAATATGATCATTCGGCTGCGTCCATAGATGTGAATACTGCGGTCATGGTATTTGATTTTCTCTTTTGAATAAAGATAGTGGTTTTCAGGTGAGCGGTTAAATCAAAATTTGTTTCTACTTGATAAATCGGGAAAATTAAACGACGAAAGTGACATTCGAACGCTAGCCTCAGGTGATATCATGGCGATCTCTATTTTTTGATCGTTATTCAATTGGTTCTCCCAACTTAACTGATCCGGATCTTTTTTGAAAACAATTTGATTACAATAAATTGCTTCTCCGAAGTGTAACACCCTATGATCCTATAATTTCATGAGTTTTCATGAAATTCTGATCGATCCTAGGCATCTGAGTTGTGTATCACTCTAGTGCATCATGGTTTTCCTACAAGCCACACACACGCATGCTGACTTGCATATAAAAAATCGGATCATTCCACGCTTTGCCCAACCGACGTCGTCCCCCATTCAACATTTTTATTTTTCATAAATGGCCTCTGATCGTAACTGTCGAAATTATATTAACACGCAATTCGTTATGTGCTGTTTATCACAGGCATTCTTCAGAGAACAATGCAGTTTATCTGTTTTGTCTGTAATCGATCGGGCTCGCCAGATCTTGTATTCCGCGCCACCGGATTTGCAACCGGATCGACTTCTGGCTAGTTTGATACGTATGGACGGTACTCGTGAGAGATCGTGTCAAGGCTCTGAAACAAAAACGATCCAATTTTGCCCACTGACCACGCCGCAATACCCCATTGTTACTCGCTATCCAAAATTCATTGTCGATTTTCACATTCGAGAACGAGAGCGCATTCGGGAAGAGGAGAAGGAGTATTTACGACAAAGGTATTTTCATCCCTTCCTGTCGGCCCATTTATCACTCATTTTCAACTACACTACGCGACAAACATTTTGCACACCCCCTACTAGATTTTTGTATTATGTCCATTCCCATATACACGCTGTTCACAACTATTTAGACTTCACTTGACAACCAAATAGAGAGTTGAACGACGAATTTCCATCAAATTATCTTTTATTTTAGTGGGAGTATGACAACAAAAATGGATTTTCAGCTTGACAAAAAGTACCTCATGCAACCCCCCCCCTCATGGACGTTACCCATAAACTGATTCGATCGAACAGAACCGGGTTTTTTGGTAATTATTCTTCACAGTTCGTTCAAAGCGTGCATTATTCGGTCGATCTTGGATCAGTATCGGTATTTGTAACTGTATAACTCGTGTAAGCTTACTGACTTACATTTCACGGAAAAGTGTAACGAGTACTCTTGAGGAAATACACTCGCAATGGTGGTACAAGAAGCAGAAATCTTTGAACGGATGAATTGAATTTGAATTCAAATCTCAAGTATAATAATCACTGCAAATGGAAGAATGCAGGGAAACTTCGCTCATAACGAATGGTTACAGAATTTATGGTCAAGATGTAATCGATTCTTTCAATGCAGTCCGAATACAACGATACTATAAAAAGGGATAGGGATTCAGGTTAAACTGAGAGCAATGAAGAAGAAAACGTAAAGAAAAAACGTTGTTTTTTGTTCATCATGCACTTTTTGATATTTTGAGTCTGATCTTTGAGCGTAAATTCACTTCTCTTGAGCTTCAAACTGAATCGCGGAAGGCACATATCAAAATCGATGCTCAAACTAAAGTCTTCATAACCCTACCCCTGGGTTACCAAAAAACCACTTCCGTTGTAGTCTAGCACAGTTAAGGAGAATACGCAGAGGTAGATTATGGATGGGCAGGGTTACACAAAATCTGAGGCAATCTGCTCTTTCAGTAAACGATTATCAGCACCCAACTCATGACAACTATACTCCAAACAACACGCTTGATGATCTTACTTAACAGAGTTCCGAAGAAGTTAGTTCTGCGAGCTTCACATTTTTGGTCATTGGAAGTCCTGAAGTATCAAAATTACTTCGCTTATTACGATATAATGAATACAGACGAGCTGGAATCAGACGTGACGAAGTAACAATTAGTGTGTAGTTGCGTCTATCCAATCAAGTGACCCGGGGACGCAACTAATGCATGTTTCAAACATTGGCATATCTCAGAGTTGTGAACAATTTTGAAACCAAAAACATTAGAGAATTCAATTTGTAATTGCACTAATCCCTATTCTTTCTACTCTTTTAAAATTTCCTCCATATTCAGAGCCACAGTGGAAGACATGCGACGCCGTACACAACTTCTGTCCAATGAAGAAGAAAATTGGTAACTCGCAATAATCTATCGATAACTTCACACAATGGCAGAGAGACACCGCTTTTATTTTCGGCAAAGGGATTTTCAATCCACTGATGATTGTTTGAGTATTTGAGTAATTTCTCACTCGCGTCTGTTTACCCACAAAAGTATAACCACACCTCTCAAGGCTAATAATTCTCGTAGACATGGGGAGATCGTATTTGTCTAACCAAGGGACTTTCGAAGTTTGTGTGTCGTTTACAAGTAAAATGATTATATGTTTTGTGTTACGTCGTCTTAAGTGACATCTCATTATCGAAGAATGTGCGCCTCCGGTTTTCTGACTCTTTACACCGTGGTGATAATGTTTTTCTGGAAATTCGTTATGTAAATTGTTGGATAGATTTGCTTCGCTTGAAAATTGCTCTGCCTGATACGAATAACGAGCCTGCATAGTAGTCGTTTCAAACGTTTTGGGCTCTTTATTATTTGACAGAATTGGTGGGAACAGCTTATTGTGTGACGAGATGAGTGCGTCCCAAATGATCGCCGGTATCCCACCGCAAGTTTTCAATTTTGACATTGGCAAGCTTTTGATTGTTATTGTCCATTTGGACAAAATATAATGTTCAACTGTACCACTGTGGGAGGTACTTCGTGTGTCGTCAAAAACGAGTCATTTTATTTAGCATTCCGAGGTGAACCAACCAACCATTCCGTTCATTCCTGCTTTGTTTTCATCGTGTATAGGATGAAATTGACCACTAACATGGACATCATACATAGGTGTGACAGAATGTCTCTTCATGTGTCGTCCGGTCTTTATTTCGGCCTTGTTCTGTTCCCCAAGGTCCATATTTTCTTGATTAATTTATCGGAGTGTGTACCCTGATACCATATGACACTGATTACAGAAGAATTTAACTTTCGACCGAACCAGGTCCCGGTGCTTCCCAGCTTCTCCGTTCACGCTTCATTTGCCCTCTGTGCACGACGAATTAAATATGAAATTGAATCAAATCATTCACCATCCTGTATGTTAGGTATCGTCAGCAAACTTTATTATTGGATGCGGAAGAACGTCGCAAAACGATGCTAGCTCAAGAAGAGGCACGGCTTCGTGAACAACGCAAGCGGTAAGTGTACGTGCGTGTGTGTGTGTGCAGAGGTGCGTGCGCTCGCGCATCCACTTTTTCATGAACGTTTTTTACTTTCTTTTATCGAATATACGGAAATACAATTTTCCGGAAGGGCGAAGCGACCAATCAAAGGGTTGCCACAGAACACAAATAATGGGGAGAAGACAGGCAGTGGTGGTGGGATTCGAACACACGTCCCCCGAGATGATAATTGGTGGTGTTACCACCGGGCCACCATTATCGATAATGCGAGTGTGAAAGTTGAACACAACTGACTTTGCTTCACACATTGGTCCAGCTAATCACGTTCAAAACAAGCGTAGTAGTCTTTTTGAACAGCGTAATACTTTTCAGCTTACAAGATTTGCATTGCGGTATATAGACCAAATATCTTCAAAATTGTTCTATAGCCCTGTTACCTAAATCTGGCTTCATCTGGGTATACCAAATATGTTCAAATGGCTAGGGGAAACGGCAATACTCCTAAAGTTAACCATTCTGAGTTACGAGGAAGTTTGTTTTATTTTAAAGTTTCACACGTTGCCCATTTGTTACCAAGACCGACGTGGAAGATAGATAATCGATAGAATGGACGAATGTGCATGTCTTCCCTCCCCCGCCAGAAAAAACAATGTGGTTCGAATGGAAACAAAAATTCTTCGAACATTGTACTCGATGTCTTCACTAGCTGTTGCTAGTCAGCTTTTAGGGTGACCGTAAAAATAGTCACAGAACAAGCTAGAGGAATGACAATTCCTCACGGGATTAATCCATAAATAACTCCTTGAGCGCATTATCTGGCAGGATTTATTTGTTCAATGATTCGATACTGTGTACATTAACTAACACATGTGCTTTTCAGATACAGATTAACGACAATGGCAACACCAGCAGAGATAAATCACAAAAATATATATTACAACAAGTAGTATGATTAACGCGATATAAATTTATATATTTGTCTAGTGAGAATCCTATTCTACGGCCTAGTGACTAAACAAGCGGTGAACGCTATACCGTATAGTGTTAAATCGTTACAAGCTGTTCACAGTTTCCGCGAATAGACCAATTAGTTGGTGCAATGAATTAACAGCTTTCTCATGCTCGGGTTCGAATCCCAGTAGATGGAGACTATTAGCGAACTAAACAGACATTCTGTTTAAAAATCTTTTCATCGTTTAGTATAACGTTGGCTCTACATAACGAACACGATTCGATTAAAACATACAAAGAACACTCTATCGTTAACGGAGTCCATACTGGAAAGTTCCTAATAGGATCACTTTTATTTTTGAAAATACGGTTCATTTAGGCGATAAAAACGCTTAGAACACAGATCTCATATTGTCCTCAACAAACCCGCGCTATCACAACGTGTCTTTATGTGTTGAGTTCGTTGCTCTTCTAGCATTCGTGCGCAAGTTTACACGGGAACCGACCGGTTAAAGGCCAGTCAGTAGATGATATGAATTGTCCATGTTTCACTAAATAGACATGTATGTACTGTTCTGAAAATGAACTGACCGAAACGCGATTTCCTATTCGACGTTCTAAACCGAAACAAAGTGACTTGTCTGATCTAGTTCGTAGCTTGTGGTGAAACTCATCCGATAAACCATAGAAGCATAATGACTGCTTGAAGGCGTGAGCATATATTTGACACTGAGAGGCTTGATGCGTGCTGTCTTCCTAATTTACCAAGTCCGGAAATGAGAAAGTTGTGGATGAACCGCGGCGTAATTTTTGTCAGTCAAATTTATTTCCTCGGTCATGCGAATCAGTGATTATTTCAGCTGAAAAACAAACAGGCTCACATTGCACAAAACCACAACAGATCAAATTTTGTTGCCCCTTGAACTTATGATGTCTAACCCCATCGTTCATTGCCCGAAACGTCTGTCGGTCAATGGGCGTTAGGAAACTAGTTTGAAATCAGGGCGACGGAAATATCACCTTTAGTTTATCCTTATTTTATTATAAAGCTCTGTGATCAATTGAACGCTGAACGTCTCTTTGTCTTACACATCGAAAACGCATTTATGGTGATTAATCTACCTCTGGTTTCCTAGTGCAATTGTAATTTCTAAAATGGGAGAAAACTTGCTCCATTCACTACACTGTTCTGAACGAACGATTCGATGCTTAGTAAAACATTTTTTTGCATCAGACGCTGTGATTTGACCAAAAAAGAAAGTTGTTATGGGGTTTGTATTTTCTAAATTGTGAGAACATGGAAAGTATCTCACTCGCCGAGTGGATATCGTTGAGCTGCAGCCATTTCTTACTGCTGATTGTTTTTTTTCAATTCAAACTTTCTCTGGATAGCGTCACCTACGCACGTATACAGATTTTTCATATCTCACCTAAACGTATATTACTATTATATTATATATTATTATTCTTCGCCGTGCTCTAATTCATTTTAGTGGTTCAGCTTAGTCAGAAAGATTGTTCTTATTGTTTTACACATAATCATCGCTGCACTTCCCATCGACCCGATCGATTTCCGTAGATTGAGTAACCTGATTCGTGAAGTGAAACTTCATGAACTGACTCTGGCTGAAGAAACACAGTCTCGCTCGCGCCAGTTGGACATGCGTAGACGGAAAGCTGAATTGGACAAGCTAGAGTTGCAACTCCTACGACTGGTGAGTTTTCTTACTTCCGGATTGACTCGCTTGGTGAGAAGATCAACTTTATTGACGACGTACCGGAAACTATCTTTGCAGTCCATGTTTGCTCCATCACATACTCGAGAAATAAGCATCCTTGGTGTCTATAATCTCTTACATGCCTGAGAATACTGTACACCACTCTCACACCCTTTGATAGAGTGTACAACAGTGTTATGGGCGTACTTTATCAATCAAACTAACACTCAATATCGGTCATCAAAGGTTGTGGCATCGAGATGCAAGAAGATCCGTGTCTGTAGTCGATGGGAATCAATAGGGATAGGTTTTGTATATACTTGAGACAGTTTCGGGTCAGAATGTGCTCTTACGTCAGCATTTCTGTTCGTACGAGCACAGTAATTTTGGTTATGACAGAATGGATTTTATTGGTTCTGATAGCTTTGATCCGATTGGTCTTTGAGACGGACAATTTCGAGCTGTACAATGGCAATGCTTCTGACAGTTAGTTTTGTCTCAAAGCAAACACAAACAACCTGCTTCCAAGTTTCTTTAACAACTGAAAGATTTAGATAGCTGGTCGATGCTTCGTGAAACAGATGGGGTTCTGTAACTCATGTCACAAAATGGGTTTACCCGAGTTCGGTGCTTGCCGGCGCTGATAGGAAATAGAAGAATTGACCAGAATAAGACCTGGTATATGAATATTAAACACTGACCAGAATTTTCGGCTGCCGGTTACATTTGACTTCGCAGTTGGGGCCTGCTGCCGGTACAAGTAATGATTAGAGACATTAAACAATATCACCAAGTGTGCTGAACACTAGCGATCATGTGTTTGTTCACTTCTAACCTAAATGAGTGAAACTGCATTCTGTGTTGTTGTTATTTTATCTGTGCAATAAACTTTGAACACTTCCGTGTACCCCTTCTCCATAAGTAACCAAAAGGGAACAACTGAAATCGTCGCACGCCAGTATAAGCTTTATGGTTGTGTGAAAGGTGAACTGGCCGTTCATTCAAAACACGAATGTCTGTCGTTCAAAAGACGATGGATTGAGGCATTCCACACTGACAACCTCACTTTAGGATTGAACATGTAAATGCATATTGACAAAGAGTTCAAGTTGGACATTTTCCACAGTAAAGTGGATGACCTTCGGTGATACTGTAAATTGCGTTTTATTTGCAGCGGGAAAAATTTGAGAGTAGACCGCACGAGAAGAATGTTATTGTTCTAGATTCATCTATATGCCCTCGCGTCACATTCGTTGCCGCAGGGTTACATAGAGGGTTAAATGACAGATGACGGAAAACGTCTAAAGTTTCTCAGTTCACCTACCAGTTCTCGTCATTATTGCGAATCCAGAGGTCATTTGACAGGAAATTTGCATTGCGAAATAAGTAAAGAATAACAGGATCGGCATTTTCAACAATGGTTTTGGAATTAATAATTTAGGTTATGTAAGCCATTTTTCGTGATCAGGATGGGAGCTCTATGTAGATCAGATACATTAACAATAGTACAATAGAAAAGAAGAATCATTTCAATTAAAGTAACTCCGCACTTAACTCACAGTTAATTGTGAATAGTGGTGTGGGATAATTGATATTGCTTGATTTGAACTGGCTATACTTCAAACTATACATCCACTTACAATCCTCAGCTCATCAATTCAACCATATACTTGGAAGCACTAGACTCGAACTTCGCTCTTATTAAAGCATATCAGTATTGCATATCTACCGATTTAGTGGAGGGCTTTGGATTGGAGTTGACAGATTGTCATCTGGGTCTCCTTTTCTTGCTGTCGGGCCAAATGAACTGACTGAGTATCATTGAAGACCGCACCAGAACAAACATGAGTTGGTTCAGCCATCGTCTTGGCTGGTTGATACAGTGGTGACGCTCGCGGCTTCCATGCCATGGGTCCGGAGTTGTAATCCCGGATGGGACCGATGAGCTCTATTAAGAGCGAAACTTAGACCTAGAGCTTCCGGGTGTATGATCAACTGGAAGAGCTAAGAAATGTGAGTTAAGATGAAGTCAGAAGGATAGTCGGTTCAAATCAATCGATAAACTCGCTTCAACGTTTATCAGATTCGATGAGGATATTTGAAATGTAAAACTAATTCACGTATACATTTGTTTTCGAATGATCTTCCTCAGATCGGATTGTCACTAACCAAATTTTCCCATCGTTGGCGAAATTGTGTATATTCAGGATCACTGCTTGTCAAACTTAATTTGTCTTCTTCAATTTCACACATATACACACACAGGCTAATCGACGTACAGACGAAATGGACGCGGCGACACATGCAATGGAATTGGCTCGTCTTCAAGAAACTTTACAAAACAAACGGGCAGAACAAATGGCCGTGAAAATGACCGCCCCAACGCATCCAAACGAATCTGTTGAGAAAGATCCGGATTCAGATTCTCTTTCACAGATTAATTCTTTTTCGCGTCCCAGTCAGGACACAACAAAGTCCAGTGAAAATCAATCGCACGATGACTCGCCCATTCGTACAGAGTCCAACTCAGTCACTGCGAACTGGATTGCTACAAATCATCCAGTCGGTAATCTAGGTCCTAGTTCCGCCTCCACAGTAAGCTCTATATGTCTGCATCTAAATACAGTCACCAAGATCGTTTCTACAAATGAAGCATGATTATACAAAGATAAGGAATCCCATAACGTCCTCTTGTGATTTCTGATGTTGAAATTATCCACTGTATCAATTGGTTGAAAAAAATCTCCGAGGTGCGTATTTTGACATCTACTTTTGAATGGATTCTGGTGATTTCGACGTACTATATTGAGTAGAATTTGGCACCAGTCGAATTGGCCAGAGTCATGTACGTTCTTTGTTCAGTTTAGATAAACCGTACATTTCCGTTAACTCCCGATCCTGTAGGTTTCACATTCTTCGCAATAGTTGTATTATCAATGAGGTGATCTCGTGGCAACTGAATCTCGTTTGTTATTGGTTGTTGGAGTTCAGCTGCACTGTTACTACAATTTTCCAACTTAAACTCGTCGCAAAAAATATGTGATTGTTGCTTCATAACCGGAAACATTCAGTTTCACAGCTCCTGAGCCCTTTTCACGTTATAGAATGACGTGTTGGTATTTCATTTTCGAACGGCTTCAGTATATTGTTTTGCGGAGAACCAAAACTGGTTTTCCGCACTTATTCATGATTGATGTTTCCAGTAGCCTAACTCTGACTTGAACCATTTTTCAGCCACTTTGGTGCATGAGATTTACCGTATCAGTTAGCGCAAGAATCTTTCGATTTGTGACTATCTCGAAAGAGTTTCGAGGTTTGCAAACGTGCAGCTGCAGGACAGGGCCTTAGTCTCCAGGCTGCTTGGTTTTGTAAGATGACCAATTCCTCATGTTTTTTCTTCGGATGTTCTTTGAATGATGGTTCCTTAAATATGTATCGAGGAAGTTCAACTTTGTGACTGTCTTTTCACAAATTGCGGTATTTCATTGTCTTTTCTATCTATATTCTCATCTATGTTTGTGTGGATGAGTAAGTGTTTTTTTTTGTTCATATCGTTCCCTGTATCTAATCCCCAAAATTATAAAAAACGAAAAAAAAACTCGAAATGACGTGCAGTAAACAAACATCAAAGATTGTTATTCTCCCAGGTGGACTGTATTGTTTTCCCCGTTTCTGTCTATATTTTTCGCTAACCCATGGTTATTTTTTCACCGTATCTGTTAATATTTTATATATATATATATATATCATAATAAGTAATATGTTAATAACAGGACAAGATTTCCCCGGGGGCACACGACCGGTTTCGCGATTCTTACTGCTTGTCAGGCATGCATATCCGGTAATCTTTTATCAGTTCATTCATATACTAGTACCCAGTAAATGTGTTTTCTTTGCAATAGCTTTGTTTGCAACACCGGGTGACTTTTGGATTATTGTGACGAAAATACACATCCCGAGTACAGGTATATGACTGAATTGACAAAAGATTACCGGATACGCTTGCCTGACGAGCGGAAAGAACCGTGAAACCGGTCGTGTCCTTCCAGGGAAAATATTGTTCAGTCATTCACATACTAAAATATATGTATATATCAACATGACAGTGAATCAGCTTGAACTAATTCGGCACTAAATCTTTGCATTTCGTTAAATAAGTCTGACAGCATCAAATTTATACAAATGAAATCAGTGGTCAGTTTTCGAGTTTGCTCAACCGCTTACCGGATTAAGGAGTATCGTGTAAAATAAGCTGCCACCGAATAGAAGTTCACGAAACCGTGTCTCACCACCGGGAAAATCGTTCATGTGAATGAAACGACTATAAATGCCACAGGTTTGACGTGGAAGAACCTGCCGGGGAGGGCGGAGAAAAAAAGAATAGGTCAATCCGATTGCAACAAAGTAGAGAACAGTGTTATGGAGAAATGACAATATCCCAACAACAACAACAGCAACAACACCAACAACAACGCACTACCACGTTTGGAGTAAGCTTGAGATGAGCCTTCTCAAGCGAGTGCCCGCTGCTCCCACCCGAGTTAGTTTGGGTGTTCTAACAGTGAAACGGCTCGGAGCACTGTCATGCACCTTTTAGTCGTCTCAGTCGGCGCTGTGCACAATGATTAGATCGTCATCTGCATCGGGTTTGCGGTAAAGCTTATAGAAATAACTGATCAGCTGCTCACCAAAACACTTCCACTTAACGAGGTAAAGTATGTACCATGTGCGCAGTTTTATCCGGAACATAAAAGTGGCAAAAGCAGCGAAACCGGTCATGTGCTTTCAGGGAAATTTTGTCCTGTCATTCACACACTACTTATTATGAAATATATATGTGTATAAGAAACGTTTTATGTACCCAAAGGTGAATTTTCAGCAGTTTACAGTTTTTACGGAGGATGGATAAAACCAATCGCGATAAAAAAAACAATATAAGAAACCCTGCACTTTATTACATGACGGAAAACATTAGTACAAGAGTTTTCTTCTGAGGGAGAGGAGACGATTGACTAGTAACCGCACAAGGTATAGACTTACAATGTTTCTATATGTGGAAGTGCGCGCAAGAACAAATCGATATTTGGAGCGAGTTCGTGGATTTGACAGGGCTTTCGCGATATCTTGGTGTAAACAGTGCTACGGGACGCGTGTTATCCTATCAATTTAGGTATCCCAAGCATCAAGAGGCTTGGTAATGAATAAATCAATCAAAACAACTCTCCAGAATTATGCTTTTCACGGTTGTTCCTATGAATTTCTCTTTTTCCCCACTCTCGATCAAATTTCAATCAACAAATCATTGTGTTTGTCGTTATATAATTGATCACTTTATTACGGCGCTTGTTGACGCTGGTCAACTTCTGTTTCGTTATCACATTGGTTAGAAACATTTTCATAAAACTTCATACCTGTTCACTTGAAATCTGCATGCATCCACAGATCGTTCCAAGTAGACAAACAAAATTTCACCACGACTCTGTTCACCTCTCCTCGATTTTTACTTGTAGCCACTTCGACCAACCGAGTCAAACTCAAACCCAAGGCTGGATCAGTTTGCTTTTACTTCCACTAAGATTTTACCACACCGGAGTGAGACAGAATCTTCAGTGAACAATTCCCGCGTAGTCCGTGTCAAAAATCAAAATGAGTCCAACGTCCCGGAAACCAAGGTGATCGTTCCGTCGGATGAAGCTGTCATACCTACCATGACGGTCAGTTTAAAATATGTTTTTCTCTAGACCAATCGTGCTAGTGATTGTGATTTTTGTAAGTGATGGTGCTTTTTCTACTACTGACTTAATTGATAGTAGCATTCTGTTCAGTGACGCGGTACCTGACACGAAAACACATATCCCGAGTACACGTCGTTTGCATTTTAATCAAATTGTAAAATTTGTTAGCGCCTAAAATGGATACAGTGTTGTTCTTATTTGTATTTTGGACTTTACTGTGCACACTTTGTAAACAAATTGATATCTGTGAACTGTGCTATAAATTGATGAATTATTTCGGTAATTTCCTTCATTTACTCCTGTTTGATAGATTCCACTCACTCTGGTTCATTTGGTTTCCAGTTTATCTGTTTCCCTCACGGGAAATGTGTTTTAGCCAATCGTACGACACTTTGATCACTATTTGCCGCACATGAATAATTACCCCCAATAACGTGGGATCTTACCCTTATGCTGTTTTTGGATGCTTTTTTGCGAACGGGGTCTTCACCTATACGTAATCTTCCCCAATCAGTTCCAGGAGATCGCTAAATAATTTTTATACATCTCTAGGGCACTGATTTCCCAACTCTTGTGGTTCGCAGTGTTTTGCTTTTAAGTGATTCATGAACACAGTTGGCAGCGTCCGTTTTCTACTAAATACCCTGCATTCCACATTAGTCGTTTAGGTATTTTTGTTTCGACAACATCACATAGTAGTAATCCGTTTTAAAACCTAAGTCGAGCGGGTATTTTGCTGCACCCGCTGGTGCAAATTGAACTGCCAAAAAAGAAATCAACGAACGTACTCTAGGTTTACTGAGGTATCACAAATCTTTATCCAAATCCCATAGTATACTGTCCACATAACATAAATTGTGGGCAACATAAAGAACTACAGAGAAATTGTATGCTTTTGTACGTACTTGAAGGTGTTTTTACTTGAGGCGATTAGAGGAGATTGAAATATATTCAGATAATGTGAGGCTAAAAGGGTGACAGTAACCCCAAAGGGATTCCTTAGGTAGTGTATCACAGGTTTGATGTGTTGGGAGACAATATGATGATGATGGTGTGTGTGTGTGTGTGTATGTGTGTGTGAATTCTGGATAAGCCACAACATTTGGATAAATGTCTGTGTGATCTGGATATAACATGTATATACTTCGCAATAAACCTGGAAAAATCGCTGGGTAAGCATAATGCCTATGTGGTAAAATTCATTCACATACCAGCTGTTTTATCGTATGTTACTTGACTGGTGTTCCATAAGTGAGGGATATATATTGTACACAGATAACGGCTGGCACCTCAAGAGAGTGGGAGTAGGATCTGCCTCCGTGAAGAGAAAATAAAAACCAACATCTTTGCGTGCAGTAAACAAGCACGATTACACCGTGTTTCACAGTCAAAGGTGCGGGCCGTTCTTGGAGAAAGCGGGAGGAAGGTAGACTGAATAAATTCTTGGATTAAAAAGCCTAATCCACAAAATGATGGTGTTCAATATACATTCCAGCATTCACTGGACCCCGTGACTGAAAGTTTGATTCATAAGCGTTTCGGATGCTGTTAGCAATCCCGGGGTTCACAATTTGTCCTTTACCCTCGGAGTTCGCCGTTGANTTGAGTATAATGAGTAGATCACCCAGGAGTATATCTGAGTCAGATCTGGAGTCGCGTTCAGCAACAAATCAGATGTGTTGGTGTACTCCAGGGTTTCTTCGTTGATTTCACTGTTTATAAGTATTTTGATCCTTGGCAATAATTGTTTGATGAGACTCGTCGTCCGAATAGTTCGACAGATCACATTTCAAACCAAACAACAGAATAACGAACAAGCTCGTTTTCAGTTGTTCTTATTCATGCCACTGCATCACAATGCATGTATGAAAGAGGAAACGCTTTTGTCTGAATGGGTTAAGCTGTTAAACATTCCATTTTCAA